TATTACGTAAGTGCTTAGTAGTATTTGAAACCGAATTTGTTGTATTAATTGTTTTTCATTTAGTCATGTTATTAATTTTGATTTTCCGCGTAATATTGAGGAGTATGTTCATCGTGTTGGTAGAACTGGACGCGCTGGGCGAACTGGCACTGCCATAAGTTATATAACACGCTCGGATTGGGGTGTTGCAAAGGATCTCATTCGTATTTTAGAAGAAGCTGGTCAAGCAGCTCCAGAAGAACTATACAGAATGTCCAATCGTTTTGAGAAGATGAAAGAAAGACGTGGTACAGATTTTAAAAGGGGTGGTGGTTTTAATCGCCGTTACTAAATGATATTTTTTTAATATATGGTAGGGGTATTATTCGATAAACAAGATCGTGAATAACCCTGTTTGATTCGAACCGATCAGTGTTTTACTTAAAAAAGTGTTGATCGTTAAAATTGAAAATTAATTAATAAACTATTTCTAATGTTATTAGTATAATAATGTACAATAAGAAAAATCTAAAATAAAATTAATTAAAAATGTGTATTATTTAAATTGAAATACAAAATTACATTTTAGAATAAATTTTTAAATAAGAAATATTTAAAATATGTTTTTTATACAGTGAACTTTGTTAATTTAATAAATTTAATCAATTACAACTTTATGATGATTCTATTGTGTTCTTACTTTTTCGTTTGTAAAAGTTTCAACTTTTTCCTGAAAATAAGATATTTTATTTGAAATTTTTTTAAGATGGAGATTAATTATTTGTACAGGCAACGATGTGAGTTAAATATTGTAATCGCTATATACGATTTTTAATCAGAGGCTGATAAAGTTGATTAAATTTCTGTATTAGTAAGTTTTCTAGTTGTTTCATTTAAAATGAATTTTAATAGGATTCAGTTTTAATAGGATTCATAAATGTATTGGATGAGGTATAAAATGAACTTAATATAAAATATATATTTTTTTCACATTATACATATTTAATTTGAATGTTATTTTAAACAGACAATTGATAGACAATTGATCACTGCTCAAGTATAGTACTGTAGTCAAGTCAAGGTCAAGTCAAGCCAATGAATGCCATTATACTAACTTGAAATCTTTACTATCACTTCGAATGATCATTTCTCACTAAGCCATAGATAAGACCTCCTAAGAAATCAATTCATCTGATCAGCGAAGATCGTTATCGATGTCATTTGAAATAAATCTTTAATTTAATTAATTTAAATAATAAACGTCATTTAATTTAATAAAATTTGTTAAAGTTGTATACATATAATATTTAATAAAAGCAGCTATACGCAGATACGTGTTAACATGGCTGTCTGATTAAATGGAAAAGAAAGAAATTAGAAAGCACGCTTTCCAAATATTGATAAATTTTATCAATAATTTTATTTTATTATTCCATTGCGAGTGTAGATATATATTGTTCGATTTGTGGACTATAGAACAAGTAACATATAGTTGTTCATGTGGAAGATTATCTGTGTTGAGAGTTGAACCACAGTATCCTAAATATTGAACTAAGCTCGCTTTAGATGGTGATTGCAGACGCCAATAGAATTGTGAATTGCAATCTTTTGAATTGAAATGGCATATCCGTTAGAATTATTGGATTGCGGAGATTAAAGACATCTTTACCTTTGAGAGAGGTCTGTAATATTTGTATGATTAATATAATATTGTGATATATGATAATTGATACTACGATTTTCAATCACAGTAAATGGGGTAGAGTCGATTACGGTTAGAGTGAATTAAAAAATTCTGTTTGATATTTAATCCGTTTGTATGATTTCTTATTTACATGTCGGTTGCTAATTAACAGAATTTCAAAGTGAATTGAGTAGCTCTTCAAAATGATGTAGCATTTATCATTATCATTTTAGAATGAAATTATTTTTCAATATTTTATAACACTCGCGACAAAAGATTGGCCATTGATAAATCAATAGACACAAAAGGGAAAACCAAACGATATATTTTGAATAAATCACCGCCTATTGCACAAAATATATAAAAAATCATTAACATAATTATTAATATAATGAACTCAAAAACAATCCGAGCTACTCTGACGAAATAGATCTTTAATTTTGAGATCTCTAGTTGCCTCTTTCTCCGCAAATTTAGCAGATTTTTCATTTACGTTGGTATCAGGTACAGGCACAGGGTTTTGACGACGTATTCCAGACGTAAGTGCTTCCAAAATTTCTTAAGAGATCACATTTTTGTTTTTTTCCACGACTGATCTCTGTTTGACATTAGTATGACATTTTTAATGTTGTACCTTTTGCAGAAAGTTTTATGGTATATTGATTCTCAAACCAGCTCTTACTTGCATTATAAAAGACATGTTTGTCGTTTTCTTCACTGTTAAGCTAAACACGATCAGAAATACGGCTGGGTCGTTAATCGAGGTTACTGTTGTACGAAGTAGCTGTTAATCGAGTTATTAGTGTATAGGTTCTTCTGAGACGCTCTTCTCAGAATGCTAATCGGTACATTGTTCTTATCAATGTAACCGTAATTTTATGAATTGAATTTGATATGATTATATGAATTTGATATGAATATGTCAGAACTTTGTAAACTTTTATAATTTAACACATGTAGTATGAAAATAGTATGTGGGCTTACCTATTAAATAGTGTGCTAATCCGATTTATCCCCTTGTGAAATTCATTTGTGTCCAAAAAGTCTAAACCTAATTAATATAGTTACATCACGCAAATTTGAGTATGGGCTGCCAAATGTATTTATATTAATTTTGAAAGAACGACACAAGTTTTCTTGTTCATTGGTTACTTTTGCAAGAGACGAGTCGGTGGTCGGATCGTTTTTTTAGCGGCTTGTGTTTTTTCAATTGGATTTGGTTTTAAGGCTGGTATGTATCTTCCTCCAAAAAATTCGTGTTTCGTGATTCATGATTCGTGATTCGTGATACTTGATACGTGTTTCATGACTTCAGTTCGAATATATGTTCAACTTTTTTCAATTAATTCTGGAACTTGTTAAAAATATTTTATAGTATTAAGAATTTTTGATTTGTTTTCGCAACCGACAAGAACTTGAAACAGCCGCCAATTTTGCTTGTTCCAAGAAATAACTGCAAATATAATGCACATATTAAACAAAAAGTTTTAAAGAAATCATTGTTTCTTTATTTAAAGAATTTTAAAACTATAATTAAAAAACAAAAATTAACTATAAAAAAAAAATCACTGCAATTCACATATATTTAAGGTATTGTAAGGACGGAATTTTGTACAAATTCCGCCCTACATAAAACTTATTATTTTTTATTAAAAATCGTCTGGATAAAACTCGATTTATATATTTAAACAAATAAACAAAGCCAACCGCGAACATACGCACAAACGACACGCAAAACAAAGCCAACCGCGAACATACGCACAAACGACACGCAAAACGAAGCCAACCGCGAACACACGCACACACGACAAGCAAAACAAAGCCAACCGCGAATTACACTTGTGCGGTTGTGTGTGCATTTAAGCAAAGCAAAGTGTCGTATATAAATAGCGGAGATTTTATATGAAAGATCACTTAGCACCGGCACACCGAAGTGAGTAGATCACTACTCCAGCGCTAAGTCTTTTTTTAGAAGCCCATGGTGTTTCGACGCTAAGGCTTAATAAATCAGTAGAAGGTATTGGATAGATTTTATAAACGCCTTTGATGTTTTGACGTCTTTGGCTAGAAACTAATTACGTAGATTTGGAAAAAACCCTTTGATGTTCTGACGTCTTTGGGTAAAAATTATTGAATAGATTTTATAAACGCCTTTGATGTTTTGACGTCTTTGGCTAGAAACTAATTACGTAGATTTGGAAAAACCCTTTGATGTTCTGACGTCTTTGGATAAAACTTACTGAGTAGAATCAAGACTAGAATAAGTTATTTAAGAAAACTTTAAATAAATTTTAAATAATAAAAGCAAACGGTCTTTTACTTTCCACTCATTGGTTTACCAGCTTCGAACTAGTCAATAAAACAAATTTATTGCAACGACCCGGACCGCGACTGAGTAATACCTCAGCAGAATTAAAACGACGAATCCGTGTCGTTACAATTGGCGCCCGAGCAGGGACTTGTGTTCGATAGTATTCCAAGTGGGAAGAAAAGAATTACCAGGGACCTGATTGGTCAAATCACAGTGGTCAAGGCTCAAATGGAAATTTAAGATCCAGAGGATAAGATATTAACAAATATCACAAGAAGAAATAATGTCGATGGGATCGAGAGGAATACCAGGAACATGTGGAAGTTCAATAAATCCTCCAGTGCGCTCCTACCTTCAGATGGTTGAAGAGGTACAGAAGTGGTCCTGTAAATATGACGGTGGTAAGGATCCACTAGATTTCATCGATCACATAGAGGAACTGGCGGCTATGTACAGTATCGATGTAAATCTAATTCCCAAGATGATGCCAATACTCTTTGAAGACAAAGCATTAAGATGGTACCGTAACAACCATAAACCTTGGCTCCTCTGGTCAAGCTTCAAGGAAGATTTCTTCAAATTCTTCATATCATGTAGATATTTCGAAAACTTAGAAAATGAGGTACGAACACGACTACAAAAGACAAAAGAAAGTTTCAAGGATTACTCACTTGACATTATAAATCTAATGCGTCACACTGGCATGGATCCAGGTTCGCAATTGGAGCGGGTGTATCGAAACATGAAGGCAGACTACCGGATGTACATTAAACGTTCAGAGTTTACAAGCCTAAATGAATTAACAACACTTGCCGATGACTTCGAAGAACTAAGTACAGAACAGGATAAAGTGAGCCGTAATCGTGTCCGTGAAGTGAACGTAGGGCGCATGATAGTCGAGTCCCCTCAAGCGATGGTGGTACAAAATACAATGAGAAGCATACCCAATATGCCAGCACGGGATAAAATTATCCATAGTCTAAGCTTCGAGTCGTCCATTCCTGATCAGAAACGAAGGAATCAGCCTCAGAACCAATCAACCGCTAAGCAAGCAACAGCATTTATAACTGGAAATGTGACTTCAGCATCACTACCAAAGTCAAGCATAACGACACGACGCGTACAACCTCGAGATTATTTAAAAGCCCAGCAAGAAAATCTACAAGAGCAGACACCTTGTAGGTGCTTAGTACCACCGCGTCAGCGAAGTTCAAAACTCATCACAGAGTCGAAAAGTCAGAGTCCAGATGTACAGCGTCAGGAAAATTTAAAACTCATCACAGAGTCGAAAAGTCAGAGTCCAGATGTACCACGTCTACGAAATTTAAAACTCATCACAGAGTCGAAAAGTCAGAGTCCAGATGTACCGCGTCAGCGAAGTTCAAAACTCATCACAGAGTCGAAAAGTCAGAGTCCAGATGTACCACGTCTACGAAATTTAAAACTCATCACAGAGTCGAAAGGTCAGAGTCCAGATGTACCGCGTCAGCGAAGTTTAAAACTCATCACAGAGTCGAAAAGTCAGAGTCCAGATGTACCGCGTCAGCGAAATTCAAAACTCAACACAGAGTCGAAAAGTCAGAGTCCAGAAGTACCGCGTCAGCGAAGTTTAAAACTCAACACAGAGTCGAAAAGTCAGAGTCCAAAAGTACCGCGTCAGCGAAGTTTAAAACTCAACACAGAGTCGAAAAGTCAGAGTCCAAAAGTACCGCGTCAGCGAAGTTTAAAACTCATCCCAGAGTCGAAAAGTCAGAGTCCAGATGTACCACGTCTGCGAAATTTAAAACTCAACACAGAGTCGAAAACTCAAAGTCCAGATGTACCACGTGAGCAGGATTACACCAGTACACATCAAGATGAATTCCTCAAAGTTTTTAGGAATCCTAGAAAGCGGACACGAAACCATTCAACGAAGTAGTCGAGTTCAAATCCCCCGAAGAAGGAGGGAAATGTAAGGACGGAATTTTGTACAAATTCCGCCCTACATAAAACTTATTATTTTTTATTAAAAATCGTCTGGATAAAACTCGATTTATATATTTAAACAAATAAACAAAGCCAACCGCGAACATACGCACAAACGACACGCAAAACAAAGCCAACCGCGAACATACGCACAAACGATACGCAAAACGAAGCCAACCGCGAACACACGCACACACGACAAGCAAAACAAAGCCAACCGCGAATTACACTTGTGCGGTTGTGCGTGCATTTAAGCAAAGCAAAGTGTCGTATATAAATAGCGGAGATTTTATATGAAAGATCACTTAGCACCGGCACACCGAAGTGAGTAGATCACTACTCCAGCGCTAAGTCCCTTTTTAGAAGCCCATGGTGTTTCGACGCTAAGGCTTAATAAATCAGTAGAAGGTATTGGATAGATTTTATAAACGCCTTTGATGTTTTGACGTCTTTGGCTAGAAACTAATTACGTAGATTTGGAAAAAACTCTTTGATGTTCTGACGTCTTTGGGTAAAAATTATTGAATAGATTTTATAAACGCCTTTGATGTTTTGACGTCTTTGGCTAGAAACTAATTACGTAGATTTGGAAAAACCCTTTGATGTTCTGACGTCTTTGGATAAAACTTACTGAGTAGAATCAAGACTAGAATAAGTTATTTAAGAAAACTTTAAATAAATTTTAAATAATAAAAGCAAACGGTCTTTTACTTTCCACTCATTGGTTTACCAGCTTCGAACTAGTCAATAAAACAAATTTATTGCAACGACCCGGACCGCGACTGAGTAATACCTCAGCAGAATTAAAACGACGAATCCGTGTCGTTACA